GCGCCATTGATGCTGAGGCTCTTGCTGAGCGGGTTGATGGGTCTCAATGATCTGAGGATTCCGGTTCCGCCGGTCGGGTAATAGTTGGCTGCTGGATTACTACCGGTGCCGGTGACGATATAGCCGCTTTAACAGTTCCTTGGAGCAGCTTCTGTTTCACCTTATATGCCACGGTGTTTTCAGCAACCTCTTGACCAAGCAACTCGTTCTCATCCCATTCAGGAAGTTCGTTACTTGTTAGAAGGCCACATAAAGCTCGAGAGATGCTAGAGTTGGCCTTGCCCATATAGATCCCCCTAATTCTGAGAAGCGTCCGGAGTCTTGATCTAAGGCGTGGGTTGATTAGTTCGAAGTCATCATAGCTCCATCCCGTGAAGTCGTTATACAGATCCCCAAGCAGGGCAATTCCGTGGTTACGTTTATCCACCGTGTATGTTGCCACACAGCCTAAGAAGAAGCTGTTGCGGTGGACAAGGAGGAGCTCTGGGTGATAGGTTCGTTGAGGAAATCCGCGTCGAAATGCCTGATCGGGAGTGAAGGGAGCTCCACGATCGTCAGGTTCCGTTCAACGAGTTGCCTGTCTTCGAGAGACACGTTGGCCGGGGTATCCTGGGCTGTTGCCGGGGCTAGTGCGGCAGATGAATTGTCAGACATATTGACAGGCTGTGTGCTGAGAAACAGGGCACAGGGTGTCAATGAGGTTATCAATGTGCGATAGGGCACGCCTAGGGTCGCTGATGACAGCAAAGCTTAGGCACGGTTGGATAACTAGAGTGGGCTCTGATGCAGAGTCTTCGTAGCAATCCGCGCGTTGTAGCAACTATCCTACCGTCAGGAGCTCGCTTTGCAGAGCGTGACGATAGGTTAGCTCTCTTCCGTCTTGCTGTTCTGTGTCACCTTTGCCGGGCGACACTGATCAGTGTGGACAGGCTCTTCACTGCAGTGAGGTTATTCGAACTGGTTCAATTGGTTATATCTTGTGTAACTAGGGAAACGTGTCCCATACAAACTGTGTGCAAAGACCTTCCTCCCTGTGTCTCACCTCTTACTCGCACGTGACTAGCGCGGTCGATTAGTTATACGTGCGCGATCGGTGCCTAGTGCACAGGTGGATCCAACAACCTTCGTATATCACCCCTAGGACCAACGATGACAGTACTAGCAAACCAGAGTGCACAGTACTAGCACCATACAGCCTCTCATTGACAGACCGGGCTTCAGCTGCTGAGAATAGGATGCTGAACACTTGGAGAAATGGGCCTTCAAGCAGGCCTGTCAACGGCGAAATTGGAGGCTGAAATGTACGGATAATTTAGGAGCAAAATGTGGGGCTTCTGGGTGTTGCAGTCGAAAGTGGAGGATCTGTAAATAGCTTAGTGTCGCGGCCCTCTAGGGTTGGTCCCTCCGGGCGGAATAAATTGCATTGCATTGCATTGGCTCCCTTGTCCAGCAGGGCCTGGCCCGTTACAGTGTGACAGAATATATTGATTTGTATCTATCTACTGTAGCGACTGTAATAAATAGAGCCCTTATTTCTTAGTGCTAGTACTTAAGCCGTATAACCGAGTTTATCAATGCGACGCTCGCACTAACGATAAACGTCAGTATGGGAAAGTTAATCGAGCGAACCTTCTGTTCTTTACATACCGTTCCCCAGCCTTCGTGTCCCTTAGGCTTACAAGTAAGGTCAAGGCAGCACTTCGCGCCCTTATAGCCTGCGACCCTGCAAGGGTCATGCAAGTGGGAACACTTAGTAGCATTCGGTTAATATCTAGTAAAGAACGTTAAATAAAAGTCTTACCTCAATCTCTTTATCAAAGCACTAGGGCTTAGTCAGTATATTACTCTATATAAGATAACCACTCCTTCGTAAAGATATTACCTCTTGATTATAACAATAAAATCCTTTGCAGCAAAAATGGCCCGCAGTCTCGCATGGGCCTATAGTTCGCGAGCACCTTTGACGATTGCCGGCTAGAGAGTTGCTATCAGAAACTGCAATCGTAGCAGCGACTGCGAAAATCAAAGATGTGAATAGCTTCATAGTGATAGACTACTAGATCGTAAACTTAAGAGGAATCGATAGTCTGTGTAAGATTAGCGTAAGAGACCAGTGCCCGATAAGTAATAGAGAGGAGTTACTATTCATCCTTAAATCCGAAGGTGTTCTGCAGCTTTTATATGTAAATAGTTTGCCTATAGAATAATCCTACACTTCCTTCGTACTTTTTTAATCGAGGTATAAAGGACGGATACGAATTAGATACTTAGATACTAACAACGTTCTGGTCCATTCCGCTAGAATCTTCTGCTTAAACATACTATGAGTACGTACACAAGGTGCAAGTCGTAACCGTATCGGGCATAAATGTAGCTAGGGACGTCTTACGTGCTTGGAACTAGTGCGATTAATCATGGAGAAGGTCTGTACGTAATGCTAGGATAGGTTTAGGAAGAAAATTGCCCTGCCTTATTAGCATACAAGCTACAAGCCTGGGTTCTACATAATGTTGGTGCCGCATTCTGCATTAATAGCCAAGGCGCGGAATGCCAATTAGTAGATAGTAGACTGTTATCGTCTAAAACTCTAGATGGAATGCTAGGAATAACATATTACAGATTAATATAATCAATCCTTATACACGTTTAGAACCATCACATTACTCGCTAGGCATGCAATTAATAGCCTATTTAGTTGTCTACGACATAATAGTATATCGGTTCGTAACGCAATTTGACGGGTGCGAGGGCACACCAGTGCTGACTTCAATTCAAGTAAGTCAAGTTTGCAGGTGTAACTTGATTACTTGAAATAAAATCGTCTCCTTGATTAACTTGAATTGAATTGATATACTTGATGGCAATTGATATATGTCAGAACCTTGATGAGGTTCTCGTCGGATAGGTCACGGACACAGCAAGAATGGTACGATCGGATGAAGTGAGGTATGATGTGTGTGTCTGTCTGTGTCCCCCATTTGGGGGTGCTCTGCCCAAGCCCTATATCAAAGGGCGATGGCCTCAATCCCTATGACATGCCATCACGTCATATCTCTGTAACTGTCTCATAGATGTCCTCGTGGCCTCATCAGCTGCGCTACCTGGTGCGCTATCGTCTGCGCTACCGTTGGCGCTGCCACTAGTAGCCTGACGCTATCGTAGCTGCATCTACCCGGATTCTACCGGATCTAACAATATACGGGCCCAACCACTTTACTACACTGGTGCTCCTTACACGGGCCGCGAGTTTTGATTGGCCCAAAAATTCTGCCGAGTGACATGCCCCACCAGCGGGCAATGCGCCCTGTGTCAGACACAGTGCTCCTAATAGTGAGGCCAGTGCGTTTGGACCCCTCAAACTGCTCATTCAGTGCGTGTGACTTGGCCGCACGTAACATCCCCCTTTGGGTAGCGCCAACAAAAAAATTCCCACCAAAAGTCTACCATTTGAACTACATGAAATGTGACCAGAACCTAAGACTAAAAATATAAGAATTATATAATTCTGTAGAGGAATGACCATTCCTACATATTCCGGCGCTGTTTTATAATTCTTCCAGACCTAGTGGTGACAGAATGGGCCTCATGTGCCACCTTGACTTCGATCACTGACGCTGTCTCCATCTGAGACCCGGGATGGCTCCGGACAGACAGGTTCGGACAGACATATTGCAGGGATTATCGCGCTAAGCATGGGTCAAAAGCCATCGCGCCTTGACTACAACCTGAACGGGCACAAGTGCCATTTTTCAGTCTTTTAGTTTAGTTTAGTTTACCTGTGCCACGCCCCACTTTATTGGCCCTCGAAAAACTCGCACCAGCTAAAGCTGCAACTCTCCCCTGTAAAAATTCTTCTCTTCTGCGGGCTGTTAGCAGCCTGTTAGTGATGAAGAAATTTTCAGGCCACCCGACCATGCTTCTGCCTCTCTAGCCCTAACGGGGCTCTAGCAGGCACCAAAGGCAGACTTTGGAGAGTTCGTCTCCTCTTGGGAAGCTGGTCTCGAATAACGGCACGCCTCGCGCTGCCTCGCCTTCTGCCGCCTCGCGGCATCGCCTTCTTCTGCCGCCTTTACTGGCTGGCCTCGACTTCTGCCGCCTCGCGGCCCTGACTTCTGCTGCCACCTCGCGGCCCCGACCTCTTCTGCCGCCCCGCGGCCCGACTTCTTCTCGCCCTCTCTGGCACGCCTCGCGCTGCCTTGCACCCTCTGCCGCCTTTACTGGCTGGCCTCGCCTTCTGCCGCCTTGCGGCCCTGACTCCTTCTGCCGTCTCGCGGCCCCGACCTCTGCCGCCTAGCGGCCACGACTTCCTCTGGACTGGTGGGCCGCGGGGGCCCTGAGGAGCTACAAGAGCCTAGAGCTCAAGGCCTCACCCGGGTGTCCCCCGGAGCTGCACACCAATCGACAACACCTCCACCACCTGCTTGCTACGAGGAGCAGGCACGGGGACTTCGCCGACTGTCATGACCACGAAGTGGTCCCGGATCGAACGCTCCTGCGGGAGAAGACAATCGCCATCGGGGCGAACCCCGACTAACATTGCTACACTCTCTGCTTCCTTTTCCTTTCTTTTCTTTCCCCGTAGGCCCTCCTCGAGGGCTTGCGGCCGGCCCATGACTTCGTGGGCTTTCTCAGTCACCCGGCCTCGGCCAAAGACTGACTACTATTACGGCTTCACTGCCGTGCCTGGAACCCGCTGACGGGGAAGGGCCCTGAATTTCCGACCGGCCTCAGAGCCTCAGAATTGCTAGATGGAGTGGTTAGGTGCTACACACGGTCCTTAGTCCAGGTACTCGGATATTCTATGTATCTAGTCCGTTCTAGCCTAGCACGTCTTTTGCCCTTATAGGGATGTCCCAGACGGTAATCAATACTACTACTACTACTACTACTACCTCCTCAAGAAACAGTGGGAACACCTCCTTGTTGGCGGAAACCGGGGATCCGACGAACTCGACAAGAAGCCTGAAGCGAACGCCAGCTAGGCATTGAGGGGCCTCATCATGGAGACGCCGGCTGAGGCCGTGAATATGGTGGGGCGAAGCGCGTCGCCTGCGTCGACACCCGCGAAAAGATCGACACGCGTCGTGAGGCCAAGCACCAAAATTCGAGAAGCCGCGCGACAGCCCGACGATCTGGCGGAGAAGACAACACGCGCAACTAGGCTTGCAACGCGCATTGCCTCGGACGATGTCGCCATCAGTGACGCGACTGAGCGGCGCAAAGTTGCCAGCAGCAGCGGTGGCGCGAACGAAGGCCGAGCCATGCTCCAGAAAGTTCTCGAACTCTTGAGCGAGTCACGTCAAGAAACGCAAAAGCTCAGCCGAGCGATAGATGCGCAAAACGAGATCATATCCAAGCAACAGCAGATGATCCAGGAAATGGATTTGGACTACAACTACATTCACTAAGCTTCGTATGGATAATGCCAACGCGACGAAGTCACTCCAGGAAGTGCTCCAGCTACTCTTCGACAAGTTGCAACGGTGTCAGCGTGCCTCGGCAGGAATTTGCTGATGAAGTTCACCTTCGAACAACCCTTATCAACGCCTGCCGCGGCGTGCCAGAATTGGAGCACGCCCTCTTCAAGCCATCAAACAAGATAGAGGCGTTGTTTGCAGATCTTCGTTCTTCCATTGAAACACATCTCGCACGCGGCACAACCCCCCAATACGCCCAGGATGATAACCAGCAGTACTACCTTGATCGTCGATACAACAACAACCGCGAAAGAGGTAGTGGATACAGAGGAAGCAGAGACTTCAGATGCCAGAGCCACAACCGCGGTAGATTCAACCAACGCCCTCAAGGCAACAACAACCGCCCCTGGACTAGGAAGTGCTTCGTGTGCAACAAAGAAGGCTGCTGGTCCATCAAACACACGGCCGAAGAACGTCAGAAGGCCAAGAGTCAATATGTAGCCCACTGTCACTTCACGGGCACGCCCGTGGAACTCGCGGCCTATGTGACGGACTACGAAGGCATTGAAGACGACCCGCTGACGATGACGGCGACTGGGATGAGAATCAGGATGACGATGCTAACCCGAAACAGTGGCAAGCAAGTCAAATGCTCTGCCAGCAAGCGTTCAACCATTTGATCACTGGTGAAGACGCTTACCGTACAGATCAAAACACTGTTCCCGCCTCACAATTTGTTATTGAAGACCGCTATTCAAAAGACAAATTCCAAGGCATCATGATTGACACAGGTGCAGCCAAAGTCTCTACAGCCGGTCACTCTCAGTACATTGCTTTACAACGAGAAGATCCTCTGTAGCCCTAGACAGCTCCAAGTCCGGCCAGGCTACCATCAAATTCGGGAATGGCGAAGCCATTCACTCGGTTGGCTCCATCGCCCTCAAAACACCAGTCGGACGGATCACGTTCCATATCCTTCAGACTCCTACCCCTTTCCTGCTTTCTTTGGCCGATATGGACCGTCTTGGAATATATTTTAACAACATCAAAGACACCATCGAATGTACTAATCATTGTACTAATCGCCAAATGAGCATCCCTGTCACCCGTAAATGGGGACACCCTGGTTCTTTCTCTCTAAGGCCGAAGACTCCATCACGTTTCTCACAGAGGCTGAGATTCGTACACTTCACCGACGATTTGGACACCCAGCAGTCCCTAGGCTATATCACCTTCTGAAGCAAGCCGGCCACAGCGACGTCTCGATAGGCACATTAGAGACTGTCTCTAAGTTCTGCCATCACTGTCAAATGCACTCGCAAGCCCCGAGACGCTTCAAATTCACCCTCAAGGATGACCAAGAGTTCAATTACGAAATCATCGTTGATGTGATGTACCTAGGAAGCCCACAACGCCCTGTTTTGCACGTTGTGGACGCAGCCACTGCTTTCCAGGGAGCAAGATTCCTACCCTCAATGTCAGCTAAGGATACATGGGAGACCCTTCGGACCGCCTGGATCGACACGTACCTTGGACCCCCCTGACACCATTCGACACGACGCAGGGACCAACTTTGCTTCAATGGAGTTCCGCCAAGAAGCAAAACTCATGGGGATCAAATGCTCTCAAGTGCCTGTTGAGACGCATTGGTCCATCGGAAAAATTGAAAGATATCACGCCCCCCCTCCGACGCGCGTATGACATCCTAAACGCGGAACTAAGCAACGTCACCTCCGCCGAAGCAGTGCTCCAAATGGCTGTAAAAGCTATTAACGACACAGCTGGACCTGACGGGATTGTTCCAACTTTGCTTGTCTTTGGCGCCTACCCTCGTTTAACTGCGGAATCGCCCCCTTCTGCTTCTACCCTGAAAAGGTCGGCCGCGATGCAGAAAGCGATGAAGACGCTCCGCCAACTCTCAGCGGAAAGACAAGTTAAAGATGCCCTTCGCACGCGCAACGGACCGTCCACCGCCGACGTTTTATCCCTCCCACTGCAAAGTGAAGTTCGTGTTTGGAGAGAAAAAGACGGCTGGCAAGGACCTTTCAAGATTGCTTCGATTGACGGACATAACGTCACGATTGATACAGTCAATGGCCCCCAAGTCTTTCGTTCCACGCACGTACAGCCGTACCTGCGTGATGACTCCACAATCCCTCAAGTTCCTGCCCCTGCCCAGGACGAAGAAGAAACCCCTGCCCGACCTGACCCCCCGGCACCCCGCAAGAGAGGACGCCCACCCGGATCCAAGAACAAGCCAAAGGATTTGATCATGATGACCGCTCCTCCAGGCCAAAGTTTCCTGACTCAGAAGGAAGAAGATGCATACGCTTTATCCATCAAACTCAGGAATGAAGGCATCATCACTGCTCCCGGCGCCCCATTTGAAGAATCCGATAACATCGAGATCACTGACCTCGTAGGACGAGGTGTATTCAGCTTTGAACGATAGATCGAATGATTCACGGTAATCATCACATCTTTCGCTCCCGAATGGTTCGTGAAGTCAAAGGCAAAGACACCAAACCGTACGAGAAATCACGACTTGTTGTTCAAGGACATGGCGACTTTGAGAAGACCACCCTACTAACGCAATCTCCGACAATTCAACGCGTTAGTCAAAGACTCATTTTAGCTATTGCCCCCGGACTTCTTCAAGGCAACGGCATGACCCTTTCCCTTCGCGACATCACTCAAGCATACCCACAATCCCAAACCGAGCTATTCCGGACAATTCTGACCTATTTGCCCACCGAATTGCAAGGAAAATACCCCCATGGAACGATCATTCGTGTTATCAAGCCCCTATACGGAATTGCAGAAGCTGGAGTCCATTGGTATCGTACATATCAACAACATCACCTCAAGAACCTTGATATGTCTACTTCAACCTATGATTCCTGCCTTTTGATCACAAACACAGGCCCTAACACGTTTGGCATTGTTGGAATGCAGACAGATGATACCCTTATGCTTGGAACAGACAGCTTTTCCGCCCGTGAAGAAGAAAAGCTCGAGGAAGCACAATTTCGAGCCAAACCAAAGACTTCGATGACCCCAGGAACAACGGTTGACTTCAATGGTGCAAAACTTACCCTGCTGGACATAGGATCCCTATCGCTTCAGCAGAAAGGACAAGCCACCAAAATCGCCACCATTGACCCCAAAGCATTTGATCATAGCCAACGCTACGTCGAGCAACGAGCGCGCGGATCGTACATTGCCTCAATCTGTCAACCCGAAGCCTCCTTTGACGTTTCTATCGCAGCACAAGCCCGGACCCCTGATGACAACGACTGCAAAGCTTTGAACAAGCGCTTGCAATGGCAAATATATCACCAAGAACGAGGCCTTATGTACAAACCTATTGATCTCGCCACCGCAAAGCTTTTGATCTTTACCGACGGATCGTTTGCAAACAACAAGGACCTATCCTCGCAACTCGGATACGTTATTGTCCTTGCTAACGAGACTGACCACAAAGAGAAAGAGTTCAGGATCAACGGCAATATTATCCTGATGCGTTTTGCGTGTCCCTACGCACACTGGGGCGTTGGGCACGGCACCAAGCATCAAGGACACCGGCTGCCGAACGCACAGCCGTGTGAACAGGCAGCCGTGTGAGACAGGCAGCCGTGTGAACAGGCAGCCGTGTGAGACAGGCAGCCGTGTGAAACAGGCAGCCGTGTGAACAGGCATCGGTATGTGGCTGCCTGGTAAACCGGCCGGATCACCTAGATAGTCCGACCTGGCTGCCTCCTACATAAGGATGAGGCAGTCCTAGCTTATTTGGAGAGACAACCATCCGACTTCATCTCATCCATATGCAAAATGCATCATACCCATGCCCCACCCCCCTTTCGGTAACACCCACCTTTCGGTAGCGCATTAGGAAATATCCCCACCAAACCCATCAATTTCACTTACACCGATTCCAGCCAGCTTTGAAGATATTCACAAGCCGTCACTTGGAGTAGATAGAGGATTGATTGAATTCTACTTTTCGATGGTTGAATGTTTGTACAGGGGTCTGTGGCCTGTGCGTACCTTGCACGTGAAATTACCATCCAACCCCCTAATCTCCTTCCGCCTCCTGACGATGATTCTTCTCGTTATTCCTCCACCACATGACCAAAATGACCTTAAAGCGGCCTCGGAGTATTTATACGGAGGATATTATGGCTAATGCGATAATTGATGTCACAAAAAACGGCTTGTCGCAGTACCGCGCCGCCCAAAAGTATGACATACCTCAGCAGTCTATTTCCGACAGACTCAAAGGCCAGGTAGCCCTGGCTGATCAGATCCAGCCTCGTCAACTCTTGAGTAAGTCTCAGGAAGCTCGCTTGGTTTCTTGGATCCTCCGCCAAGAGTCTCTCGGCTATGCTCCTCCCACAGTCAGATCCGCGCATGTGTGGAGGCTCTTATGAAGCAACTGAACAACGAGCGGACAGTGGGGCGCAACTGGGTCTCTAAATTCATCAATCGCCATCCGGACATCAAGAACAAGCGTGGGAGACGTCAGGAAGCTAACCGATTTAATGCTTTTACGCCTCGTGCGGTTCACTGGTTCTTCGATATCAGGGAAAAGGAGTATGGATGGATTAAACCAGAAAATACCGTGAATGTTGACGAAGGCGGTATTATGTCTGGCTTTGGTGAGTATTTGGCTTGTCTTTCATTACTTTTACTAACCAGACTCTTTTGCCAGGTTTGGATAGTCTTGTGGTTGGGAGTGCAGACCCAAAACGGAAGGCCCTTCTGAAAGGGCCACAGTCCCGCAACTGGACCTCATTTATTGAAGCTATCACCGCGGACGGCCGTGTCCTTACCCTGGCATTATCTTTAAGGGCAAAGAACTTCAGAAACAGTGGTTCTTGACGGAATTCGGCAAAATAGCCGACTGGCATTACATAACGTCGCCCAACGGATGGACGGACAACCATATCGCTATTGAGTGGCTTGAGAGGATCTATTTGCCCCAGACGCGACCAGCCGATGCCTCAGATGCTAGACTGATCATATTAGATGGACATGGAAGTCATGCAACGGTGCGTTTCTTTATCCACCTCTGTAGGAATTACCGTTAACCGGGACCAGGATGCATGGATGGCCACATGCTTTTTGAACAACGTTTATTGCTGTTACCTTCCTGCCCACTGCTCTCATGGCCTCCAGCCGTTAGATAACGGTGTATTCAATGCCTCCAAGGCAGCTTACCGAAAGAACTTCAGAAATTGACCTGTTTGACCGATTCTGCGCCTGTTCATAAGGTCAATTTTATACGGGCATATGCTAAAGCGCGCGAGGTTGGAATGACGGCAAAGAATATATTGTCCGGCTGGAGGGTCACTGGGAATTGGCCGATCTCACGATCCAAGGCATTGCGGCATCCAGAAATTCACGCGGACATTGTAGAGACGTCTCCAAAGTCCGCGCCATTTTTGGTTCTGATGATACGCCAAGAAACAGCCGCCAGATTCGCGATTTCGGAAAGAACAAGACTCCTGGCACCCGGAGACGATACGCCGTGATAGCTAGAGGCTTTGAAGCCCAGAACAGACGCTTGCCGAGCACAGCAACAGAATCGCGAAGCTAGAGGAAGAAGTGGCCCGGCTGCAGAGAGGCAAGAAGAGCAATTCCGAACCTGAACAGACGGTTCATGACTCTCAGTGAAGCTTTGGTGGCTGAGGAAGCCATTCCCAAATTAAAAGCCAAGAGATAGCCGTTGTTCTGAATTCTGACACAGAGGAGGAGGCGGTCTCAGAGGTGGAGACAGCTTCAGTGATCGAAGTCAAGGTGGCACCGAAGCCCTTCCAGTCACCACCAGATCCGGGCGAATGGTAAAAAAGCGCCGGTACATATAAGAGCGTCCATTTCTCTACGGAATGATATTTTTTTGTGTTTATAATGTTAAGTTCTGATCATATTTCATGTAGTTCAAATGGTAGACTTTTGGTGGAGAATTTTTCAAATGCGCTACCGAAAGGTGGGTGTTACCGAAAGGGGGGTGGGGCATGGGTATCCACTGGAGTTCAACTAAGTGCAAAAGGATAACTCGAAGGTTTTGGCCTCAGAAATCTACGGAATGGTCAATGGATTCGACATTGGCATATCGGTATCAACGACTTTAAAGATGATCACTGACCGTCTCGGACTTCCTTCTATCCCTCTGATCGTCTGTACGGACTCGTACTCTCTCTACGAATGTCTCATCAAACTAGGCACAACGAAGGAGAAGCGATTGATGATCGACATTATGGCCCTTCGTCAGTCGTACGAGCAGCGAGAGATCGCAGAGATTCGTTGGATCAACGGTGCAGACAATCCAGCTGATGCTATGACAAAGGCATCACCGAACCGAGCCCTGGAACGTCTCATCGATACCAACAGTCTGACAATTCGAATGGAAGGATACGTCCAACGCCCTTGATCACTTGTGACGCCCATGATTAAATGGTCATTGCAGTCAACTAGCCCGTCTTTCTTTCGTCCATTCCCTAAGATCCCTATTGTGGGTACTCCGCACAACCGGACTTTCGGCACAGTTATCATTAATTACCTACACAACTAGGTCTTTCTTCTCGTTTGAACCTGGATGGATCATTGCTATGCTTCTCATAGCAAAAGAAAAGTTGCCAGTGTGGGAATTCTAGTAATGCCTTGAGGAACGTTAGTGCCTTGAGGAACGTTAATAGTGACGAAAAGGTTCTTCTGGTTCCTCCCCGGGGAGAAAGAAAAAAAAACGCCGCCTGATGGTAGGCACCTATGTGCCTACAGATACGCATGCGCACAAGCTGTAGGCTGAGTCACAGTCACGACAGGTAGGGTAACCGGTGATGACTTCAATTGTAACTAACTAGGGAAGAGGAAGCTATTCACAAGAAACGGAATGTGCACCCGGTAATGGGGCATGCAGCCGGGGCTGCGTGCCCTGATCGCGGGTAGGGTGTCACGTGGGAGTCGTGCATGAACCGTGATGGTATCCCGATTGCACGGGTTACTCAGCAGGTTAGTATTCCAACACAGGCAGTCTTTTCTTTTCGTGATGGAATCCGAAGGCTGCCGTGCCTGCCCTTCATTCCGGTCTCAATGAAGGAGGCTCGTCATCATGGCGTCGTTTGTCGTTAGGTGGTGTCTGCGGTCACGGGTCGTTGTACATATCCTTCCACTCGAATCGTCAGCCTGTTCGTCTCAATCAACCGTTCCAAAGCACGGTTGGGTGCTGCTTGGTCATCGCATCAGCCGGGTTGTCATCCCCATTGATCCAACGGATCTCTGCCATCTCGCGCTGCTCGTAGGACTGCCTTAGCGCCATGATATCAATCATGAGTCGCTTCTCTTTCGTGGTCCCGAGCTTTACGAGGCATTCGTATAGCGAGTATGAGTCGGTGCAGACAATGAGGGGAGTCGGGGGTAGGTCCAGCTGCTTGACAATAGCCTGCAGGGTGGTCGCGATGACAATGGCCATATCGAAACCTTGGACCATGCCGTAGATCTCCGAGGCTAGCACGCTCCGGGTCACTCGCTTGCTCTTCGTAGATGACCAGTGCAGGACATTGCCTCTGATCGTGAAATCAGCAGGGCTCTGTTCCTCGTTGGCGAGCACAATAACAAAGCCCAGTTGTGCGAGAATCATCATTTTTGGACTAGCATTAGTCTTTCACCTTCCCTTTATTGGGGCGACCGTCTGGCAATTCCCGCTATCCGGCGTCGAATACTGGTGCGCTGCTCCAATGGTGTCTCACTTGGTTACCGTTATTATGGTTATGGCGATATGGAGGAAGACACAGTCTTTCCGTCGTTTTGACCGGCACTCTAACCAGCCTCAGCCAGAGCAGCCGACGTCAAACCAGGGGATGCCGTGGCTTGGAGCAGTGAGCGGATTGGTGTTCCTAGCATCATCTGTGCTCCTGATATGTTCTGTGACTGGTTGGGTGAGACACCAGTTTGGAGGTCAGTGTGGACTTTGTCTGGCGATTTTAGTTGTGCCAGCAGTACCTCTGGACAGTATGATGAGAGAACACCAGAGGAAACGGGTAGACAGAGAGGTGCAGCTGTCTGTGGTGACAGACCCCGGTACTGAACGGTCGACGGAGCACCTTGTATTATCCTGAGGGCACTGAATCAGACAGACGGTAATTCCATCACTGTACGCCCTCCGTCTACGGCCAATTCCTTATATTTAAGCGTCCCAAGTTTGGGCCACAGGAATATGCTGCATTCAGGTCGTGCAAACGCTCCAAGTAATCCTTCCAAGTTGGATGCGCGACGCAAAGGTGCCTTCCGAAGCATATATGGAAGCCCTGCTTTCCACGTCAATCATGATCTTTTCTTTAGTTCAGTTACACTCTCCTCGACGGAAATACCCACGTTAGTTCACGCAAATGTCCACCAGTCGTCTGAAAGACATATTCTAAAGGACTTCATCGGACTCGCAGAAGAGCTCGCTAAGGACAACCGGCTCGTCTCGCCCTAATATTCACGCTGTAGACAGTGTCCAGACGTCCAAATATGCTTAACTTACCTCCGCAAATGAAGTGTCAATCGAAGTCCAAGTTCTGGGGGGCGACGAGCTCGCCGTGAACGACTACAGTTCTGATGGCAGTGAAAGCGGCTCGCCAAGCATGAAGTGGGGGCTGTTCCGGCGTACGACACCTTAACATAGGGAAAGGCAGCGGCAATCACTCATCACGCTTATGGTGGAGAGTAAGAAAGCAACAGTCAACCTCAGACAAGGGATTTAGCGAGGAGCCTCGATTCAATTTTCTGCATGCTCAAGTCACATGCGACCCCGGGAAAACCCGGGCAGTTCTATCGCCACGAACGACTCGCCGCAGTATGCTCATGACCGAGTTGACCGACTCACTTAGACTTGGACTCGTGTTGGAAAGGCAGCAGGGGGCACTCACACCCGACGCCGTCTTGGATCATCGATACGCCTCACATAATTCGGTGACCCGAGGGCAATTCCCCGACAAGTCTCGCATGAAGGCTAGCGAGGATGCAAATGCCAGCTTGTGGAACCAGCATTTCTTAGACGAGATATTTAAGGACTAGGTTACTACCATTCTAAGGGCTGGTGAAAATATAACAATTCAGCACTCCTCCACGGCTGGTTGCTTGCTCCTCCGGATATTGTGAATCCGCTGTCGCTTATGCCCTTGCCCATGGCTTTGCCATCTTCTTTTAGGCGCTCGACATTCTGTACTTACACCCCCGGATATCCCGCCGTGGTCTCTCCGCTCGCATTGCCTGGTGTGTCGTGACGAGTCCGAAGGAGAAGACTGAGAAAGGCTGATAGTAATTCTAACAGGCTTGCAGAGAGGAGGTCAAGTTCCATCTCAACCTGTTTGCCTTGTTCGTTCTCGACTGTACCTCTGGCCTCTACTCGATGGCAAGTATCGGATACAGTGACTCGAAAAACGAGCCCAGTAGGAGGACGATTCTCCTTGTCATCGTCGCAAAAGGAAGAGTAACCACTCTCTTCAAGATCGCTAGGTGCAAACAAGGGCTGAATATTTTGTGTAGGTGACACTGCAATCTCGTCTTGCGGATATTTGTCTCGACAGTTTGTGCCGTTGAGTTGGCTTTCGGTATCCGAGAATTCTGATGTGGGCGAGGTAGGACAAAGAAGCATATCGAGAGCACGAAGATGACCAGTTTGTCCACAGGCAATCGATTCAGTGGAACTCATATTCCCCTGCATAGTCGAGGTAGTGTCAGTCGACATGGCGGGAAGGAGGGCCTCGTTGGCTTTCGGAGAATTGCAAGAAAATGGGAGATATGGAAACCGGGACAAAGGGGGGTGGTGCCTACCTCCTTTACTTTCTACACGAGTATGAGACGGGCTGCCTTGGCCGGGACGAGCGCCAGCGAATCATCCCGAGAATCCCCAAGGCGCAGCTTTGGCCATCTCATTGCACATATTGTCGGGTGGGATCATGCGCCTTCCTCCACTTCCGGGCTGTGGTCCGTTGTTGCTTCGCTGACGCCTGCCGGCCACCCTGAGATGGTTTATGCGTCTTTGACCAGGTTCAGCTTCTGCATCAATGCACCGATCGCATCCGCTAATGCTGCAAAATTACGAGTAGCCAACTTCTCCGTAGGTGCAGGGGCGAACCGAATCGTGCAGACTAGTCCGCAGCCTCCCTGCGCCGGGGTTCAGGAGGAACGCGAGGCAGGACTTGTCCGTTAATTCCTCTTCCTCGTCGTTGACCCAATATATGACAATGTACATGTACATGCCTGGGAAGTGTCGGGGGTGGCGAAGCTTGCAGCGGAGGGAGCCTCGCGACAAGGGGAGGGCTGCCCACGTCGGCATCAACTTCGGGAAGATGACGGCGACCTTCGCGATACCTACATTTGCATCTAACGAGATAGCAATACTTCACAATGCATGAAAATTAGCCGCAGCTCCAATGGAGCGACTCTAGAGAGCCGTCAGGGACACCCCTTAGGGTGGGAAAACGAGACATGGCGATATTTACACGCTCCGCTTGCTAGACGCCACCATAGACTGCTGGTTTGTATGATTACCTGTCCGGCTTTCACGTCGTGTTTCCCAGCTCTGCTACCAACTACGTCTTCCATTCATTCCTTGACTCAACGCTTGACTTCTAGGTCGTGAGTATCTTGCGGCACTTACGGCTTACACGCGCTACTAAGAGCACATGCGAGAGCTCGTGGTAGCGAATCTAAACGAGACAATGTCACAACCTCGGCGTCCTCTTTTCGACTCCTACGCAAGTGCGAAAGGCTCTCCCGCCCAGCAAAAACCCAACCTACACGCCGAAGCCACGACAGCCGCTCCAAAGCCCGAGCGCCAGGACGATACCATGCCCCACCCCCCTTTCGGTAACACCCACCTTTCGGTAGCGCAATTGAAAAATTCTCCACCAAAAGTCTACCATTTGAACTACATGAAATATGATCAGAACTTAACATTATAAACACAAAAATATCATTCCGTAGAGAAATGGACGCTCTTATATGTACCGGCGCTTTTTTCGATCACTGAAGCTGTCTCCACCTCTGAGACCGCCTCCTCCTCTGTGTCAGAATTCAGCACAACGGCTATCTCTTGGCTTTTAATTGGGGAATGGCTTCCTCAGCCACCAAAGCTTCACTGAGAGTCATGAACCGTCTGTTCAGGTTCGGAATTGCTCTCCTCTTCTTGCCTCTCTGCAGCCGGGCCACTTCTTCCTCTAGCTTCGCGATTCTGTTGCTGTGCTCGGCAAGCGTCTGTTCTTGGGCTTCAAAGCCTCTAGCTATCACGGCGTATCGTCTCCGGGTGCCAGGAGTCTTGTTCTTTCCGAAATCGCGAATCTGGCGGCTGTTTCTTGGCGTATCATCCGAGCCAAAATGGCGCGGACTTTGGAGACGTCTCTACAATGTCCGCGTGAATTTCTGGATGCCGCAATGCCTTGGATCGTGAGATCGGCCAATTCCCAGTGACCCTCCAGCCGGACAATATATTCTTTGCCGTCATTCCAACCTCGCGCGCTTTAGCATATGCCCGTATAAAATTGACCTTATGAACAGGCGCAGAATCGGTCAAACAGGTCAATTTCTGAAGTTCTTTCCGGTAAGCTGCCTTGGAGGCATTGAATACACCGTTATCTAACGGCTGGAGGCCATGAGAGCAGTGGGCAGGAAGGTAACAGCAATAAACGTTGTTCAAAAAGCATGTGGCCATCCATGCATCCTGGTCCCGGTTAACGGTAATTCCTACAGAGGTGGATAAAGAAACGCACCGTTGCATGACTTCCATGTCCATCTAATATGATCAGTCTAGCATCTGAGGCATCGGCTGGTCGCGTCTGGGGCAAATAGATCCTCTCAAGCCACTCAATAGCGATATGGTTGTCCGTCCATCCGTTGGGCGACGTTATGTAATGCCAGTCGGCTATTTTGCCGAATTCCGTCAAGAACCACTGTTTCTGAAGTTCTTTGCCCTTAAAGATAATGCCAGGGTAAGGACACGGCCGTCCGCGGTGATAGCTTCAATAAATGAGGTCCAGTTGCGGGACTGTGGCCCTTTCAGAAGGGCCTTCCGTTTTGGGTCTGCACTCCCAACCACAAGACTATCCAAACCTGGCAAAAGAGTCTGGTTAGTAAAAGTAATGAAAGACAAGCCAAATACTCACCAAAGCCAGACATAATACCGCCTTCGTCAACATTCACGGTATTTTCTGGTTTAATCCATCCATACTCCTTTTCCTGATATCGAAGAACCAGTGAACCGCACGAGGCGTAAAAGCATTAAATCGGTTAGCTTCCTGACGTCTCCCACGCTTGTTCTTGATGTCCGGATGGCGATTGATGAATTTAGAGACCCAGTTGCGCCCCACTGTCCGCTCGTTGTTCAGTTGCTTCATAAGAGCCTCCACACATGCGCGGATCTGACTGTGGGAGGAGCATAGCCGAGAGACTCTTGGCGGAGGATCCAAGAAACCAAGCGAGCTTCCTGAGACTTACTCAAGAGTTGACGAGGCTGGATCTGATCAGCCAGGGCTACCTGGCCTTTGAGTCTGTCGGAAATAGACTGCTGAGGTATGTCATACTTTTGGGCGGCGCGGTACTGCGACAAGCCGTTTTTGTGACATCAATTATCGCATTAGCTATAATATCCTCCGTATA